CGAAACGTTAGGAAACAAAACTTCCAGAACACGGCCACATAGCCCAGAAGACCCACACCAGCCATCGTATTCTGGCCGTGAAAGCCTTCGACAATACATTGTCTCTCTTTCCTCCCTCACTCTACCGCCCAGGATCAAGTGGCAAAGGATAAAGCCCTTCAGAGTATGGCCGCCATGTCTTCTGCTCAGCTTGTTTCTGCCACCGTCCTCCAGGAGAAACTAGGCCTGTCGGAACCCCACTACCCACCTAGCGCCACCACCGTAAGCATATATGGGGGAAGGGCTGTGAGCTGGGGTTTCTCTGGAGCTCTCTTTTGGGGAACTCTTATGCTGCAGATTTGAGACTGGAGTTTGTGGCAATTTAACACCTGGTTTCCCCTGAAGAATCTGGGAAATTGTAGTTCGGAAAGCTTCTAGGAATTTGCTCCGTGCCCTTTCCGAGAGCACAGTGGGAAGTTGCTATTGCACCTGCTTAAGCAGGGCATTTGTCTGGTGAAAGAACTATCTGTTGATTAGTTATATGACTCTCCAGCTGATTGAATTAGCATCAAGTTGAGCAGGATATTTTTGAAGCAAATAGCACAAGTTCTTTGTTTTTTGATGATTCATGCCTATATCATAGTAGACATTCTCTTCTATTACTGTAAGAGAATGCTTCTGCTAACTTGGTGTTTGCAATCTATAAAATTTAGATGTATTTCCTTCTTTAAAAAAAACTTGCTGTTACATTTAACTGTGGGCACTATTTTGGCCAATTAAAGAATATTTACACATTTACAAAAAAAGCTTGGTTAGGTATATAGTATAGAAACAACATGAATATTTTAAATGTTCTTTCTGGTTTCAGCAATCCACAGACTTTTTCCATTTCTGGGCAGGGGATGTAAATCAGGCCCAAACTACTCCAGAGTAAGTTTTGGATTGGTCTTTTTGCAACGTTCAGCTATATCTCTGGAGCATTTCCTGCTGAATTGCTACATGTAAATTATGTCCTTTATCCCCCCTTTCTTCAGCATTAAGCCCATCCTCCAGGCACCATATCCCATCGCACCAATTGCAGCATCACCTGCTGCCCCAGGTAAGCATCATTCCTATTTCATCACCCATTTATTACCTTACAGGTAGACCTTGTTGAACAACCACTTGTTCAGCGATCATTTGAAGTTACAATGGCACTGAACAAGGGAGACTTACAATGGGTCCTCATAGTTGCGGCTGTCGCAGTGTCCCCGCAGTCACATGATTGCGATTCAGGCGCTTGGCAACTGGCTCGCAATTATGACATCACAGCATCCCGTGATCATGTGATTGCCATTTGTGACCTTCCCTGCCTGCTTTTCACAAGCAAAGTCAATGGGGAAGCCAGCAGGAGGTTGCAAATGGCGATCATGTGATCCCAGGATGCTGTGACTGCGCACGATTCGCCTAACAATGGCAACTGGGACTGCCACAACTGCTGTCATAAGTCAATGCCGTCATGTGACGTCACACTTTACAACTGCATTGCTTAGCGATAGAGTTGCCGGTCCTATTTACCATCATTAAGCAAGGACTACCTGTACGACTAAACATGGAGATGTGTTACATTAACCCCAAGTCTTTTTCTCTTGGCTTGTCAGGTTATCACACACCCCCAGGGAGAGTCTCCTGTCTCCCCACCACTACCCCTTGGCCAGGAAGCCATATCAGTACTGAAACACTTCGACTGGTGGAGTTTACTGCTTTTGTGGAGCGGCAGAGTGAACGAGATGCGGTAAAATAAAACAAGATGCACGTGTGCCCCTTCAGTGCTCCCTCGCTGTTCCCATCTGCTAGAACAAACTTGGCTTGAAAGTTTGAGGAAGGGTAAAACTGAATGGGATAAGAATCAAACTAGAGAAATGATGCTGAATTCTGCTTGGTGGTGAAACTAGATAGCCTATTTGGGACAGTCACTTTCTCCCTACCTAATGCTCCAGAGTTATTAAGAGCATAACATGGAATACTGTTGTTTATTTAATCCAGGAAAGACTGGATAAACAAGATAGAGTCCTTGGAGGAAAGATAGGTTACCGTGATAAACTGGAGTGGATTAGGAATAAAGGTAAAGCGACCAGATGCAGCAAGGATAGAATTTAAGCTTGAAGGTGCTAGTAGGTCCATTACTACCTGGAAGTCCAACTTGGAAAATTGTGTGGTGTAACACCTAATAGTCTGAATGTTGGCAGGAAGTCTGGAATGAAAAAGTTAGCTTAGCTCTAAATAATAGTAGGCATATGGATTTACATGTCTTGCTAAGCATCATTTGCTTAACCATGATTTATCAAATAAATCATAATTAGTTGGTTTCGCTCAACACACTAAGGCAGTGTTTCTCTATCTTGGCAACTTGAAGATGTGTGAACTTCAACTCCCAGAAATCCCCAGCTAGCATGCTGGCTGAGGAATTCTGGAAGTTGAAGTCCACACATCTTCAAGCTGTCAAGGTTGAGAAACACTGCAGTAAGATGGAAAACATGGGACGCAAATCCAAAACAAGAATGGCTGTATTCACACGAATCCAAACCCAATGTGCAGATGCAGCTTTCCAGTTAACTTCTGTCTCTCAGCCCCCTTCTCCACATATGAAAACTATGCTGATTTAGCAAGATTATTGGGAAGGTTAAACTACCTGAAAAAATGTCACCCGTCTCATGCCCATTTAATTGCGCTGGAAGTACAATCCAGGATGTCTAAAGGGTGCCAAATTGGAAAGGTCATGCATATTAATGTCAGTATGTCAGGGAGATGCCAGTGTTTGCAAGTCTTGAAATTGCTGAGTGACGGGGTGCAACAGTGTATAGTCTGCCATTCATCAGGATAATCCTAACCCTACAACAGTCAGAGGCTCTGCCATCACTGGTTAACGGGATCCTTGTCCTCCAGTGCATCTTTGCATTGAGAGGGACACACTTTTCATTTATACCTGTGCCAAGGAAAGCCGGAAGCTACCTTTCTTTTTCTATGCCTTTTCTTTACTGATCTTTCTTTTCTTTCTCTCTCTCTCTCTCCCTCTCTCTTTTTGACCTTCTTGTAATAACCTTTTGGAAATGTAATAAAATTTCTTTAAAAAAAGAGAGAGGGAGGGAGGGACATGCTTTCTGGTAAGCTTCTCCTACTTCTCAGCAAGTTCCTGAGAGCTCCAGAAAGTAGTTTGTGAGATAATGCAGGCTGTGTTTCTCTTCCCGTAGCAACAGTTCTGACTCCCCTTTCCCTTCTCCATAGTGTAAGCAGCAGCATCGTTTTGTTCACATTGACCCGACACCCACGTCTGAGCCGCCCCTGGAGATGGTGGACGTACGCCAGATCTATGACAAATTTCCTGAGAGAGGAGGTGGACTGCGAGATCTGTATGATCAAGGGCCTCCTCATGCTTTCTTCTTGGTTAAATTCTGGGTGAGAACTCTTTTGCTCATTGAATCCCCAAATAATCAGGAATGCAGGCCAGTCCCGTGAAACAGACTGATGATCAATGCTCGCATGAAACAGTGTGTTTTGTGGGTATTAGACTCCAGATTGCTGGGGTCAATAGATAGATTTGGAGCAGAGGCAGGCAACCAACCTGATGTATTCCAGATGCTTGGGACTTTGAATCCTATCTGCTCTAATTAGCATGGCTAGTGGCAAAGATTTGTGGGAGTTGTAGTGTCAAACATTTGCAGGGTTGCCTACCCATGTCTCAGAGGTTCAGAGCTGATAGTTAGGAGGTTATATCTGAAAACAGTCATGCCACATCTCCTAGAATGGCTTGCTGCAGCACACATTTGCTTGTTGGTTAGCAGCAGCAACCAAGTCATTCTGAAGGCTGAGTTTAAAACTAAGCCAGTGAATTAAACAGCACGTTGTTGATTGGTGTTTGATCAACCATGAAAATGCCTTTTCAATTGTGAAGAGTGGCAATCCTTGAGTTTTACTTTCTCACAGCTGGTAAATTAGAAACAGGGAGGCTTTGTCAATAAAACTGTTGCTGAGATATTTGGATTCTGACCCTGGGTAATTAAAAGACACCTTAGACAGCTTTACATCAACAGCAAATGTTAAAACTGTTGGACACAATTGAACTTTACATTGCTGCCCAGCCAGATACTCCCCCTTGCACAATACAGTGCTCCAATTCACCTCTTCATGTTCAAAATAACATCACTTCTTTTAAAACAGATGAATCCAGTATAAGGGGTTTATCCCCTGTGCTAAGCCCAAATCAAAGTTCATTATTATTTATACTTTTATTTATGCTTTATTTTGACCCTTATTGGGGTATATGCTGTCCAGAATTCTATCTATTCTAAGAAAATTGCAAACACGGCCATTAAGGTGAGCACTATCCTTTTCCCTGCTGTTTGCTCCCAGCTCCTGGAATAAACAGATACGTTGCTTTAATAACTGGGGATGTCGCTTCACTACTCAATAATCTTTGTCCTACCCTTGTATCAGGTATTAAAAACAGTTCTGATTCTATTTTCCAATCTCTTGCTCCAGGCTGACCTAAGCTTTTCCCTCCTTGAAGAAGAACCTGGAGGCACAGGAGGGGCCTTCTATGGGGTGAGCAGCCGATACGAGGGCCCACGGGCTCTGACTCTCAGTTGCACCTCCAAAGTCTGCTCGTTTGGCAAACAGGTGGTGGAAAAACTGGAGGTGGGTGTGGTGGGGGGAGGGAGCTGTGAGACTGAGGGGCAGAGATGAGGGTGGCCATGCTGTGTTGAGCTGGGTGGGGTGAGGGGAGCAGAGTGTTATAGATTTACAGCTAAGAAACCCAGACGTAGTATCTCAAGATTGTTGCATGCAGCCGCTTAGAAAGCTGCCTCATACCAAGTCAGACTATTTGCCTTGTTATCACAGTATTGTCTGACCCTGGCCTTGCTGTGGCAACACTGACAGTTCTCCAGCAGAAAAGATTGGAGAAGATAGGCAGTATAGACACACTTGTCCTGCTCTTCCCTATTCCAAGGGAAAATTAAAGTCAGAAGAAAGAGGCAGAGTCTGTAGCACTTTATATGTTTTTGGAATGTGACTTCCAAAGTTGGTCAAAGAACTGTAGTCTGGAGAGGCCACAAAGTGGATTATCTAAGAAGATAAAGGATAAATGAAGGAAATAATCAATAGAAGGAGAAAGGTAGCTAAGAACTCCTCTGGGGATCTCCTTATTCTTATCCTAATTCCTTCCAGGTTCCTCTGTCCTTCTCCAGGAGAATCATCAGGATTCTTAACACAGAGACCCAAGCTATGGCTACTTTTCACACTGTGAATGCAATGTGCAGCTAGGTTCTTGGTCTAGACTGGTCTTTCTGAACCTTGTACTGTTTACTTGTACTGGACATGAACTCCCATAATCCCCCAGCCAGCAAGACCATAGTTCATTCTGGCTCCCGGTGTTAGGAACTGAGTTCCATCACATTTAGAGGTGTCATAGTTAACCAGGGCCTGGTATTGAATATGACCTCTACGTAAGAATAATATCTCTTTTTCATCATAAGCAACAAAACCCCAGGAATTGATTCATTTTGGGCTTGGGCAGGGAAGGCTTTCAGAACAAAGCCATTGCTAAAAAAACTGAGCTCAAAGAGCACTAACTATTAAGAGTTTTAGACTATTTATACATGCAGGGATTCTTGGACTCCAGGGATATAACACAGATAACAAGATTGGGATTGTCCCTTGTGTTACAGATTATTTTTCAGCAGCAAACTACCGTAGCAGAGAGCTGGGTGGGCTAGAATCTCTCCCCTTGATGTTCTAGGTTTTTTTTATCTGCATAGATTAGAGGGCGTTTTTCTTTTCCCCATGAGACCCTCCAGGAGCTGCTTCTCCCATCTGCAGCCTAAAGCAGCTGTTTTGCATTGCATTGTAGGCCAGGTCACAGCCTTGTGCTTCAGGAAAGAGTGGAGTTAAGATAACAGGAAATCAGATTTTTAGTTTCATTCGCCTGTAGAAGCAAAAGGTTTGGGCTTCATACAGTTAGGCTTGGGGAAGTAAAGCTACAGTGACTTAAGACAGTGATGGAAAGATCTGGGTGTTAGCAAGACCTGAAGAAGATAGGCAAAACAGCTGTTATTTGGATTTCAAAAAAAAAAGTCTGTATTATCAACGGGACTTGCCTTCATTTAAGTGTTTTTTGTTCAGAATAATGAACCTCACTTTACTTTTATAAAATATCCCGGTTTTGGAAAGGTAATTGGCTGCTGGCAGTAGGCATATGTGGGTGTAGGTTTAGGGCTTCTCTCTCATCTGTCCTACTTCCCCATTGTCTGTCCCATTTCATCCCCTTGATTCCCCAGACAGCAGAGCCTCCCCACTGGGAAGACGGGCGCTTTGTTTTCCGTATGCAACGCTCACCACTCTGCGAGTACCTCATTAATTTTATTCGCAAACTACGAACGCTGCCAGAAAAACCAATGATGGACAGTGTCCTTGAAAATTTCACCATCCTGCAGGTATTTGGGAATGGAATGATGGGGAGGGTAAGAAAAACATTTAAGTCAAAGCTGCACTTCCACAGGGAAGCAACAGGAAGACAGAAAATTTTGCCGAAACCTGTTTTACTTCCGCTTCTAGTTCTTGGTGGGCTTAGAGTAACGATTTTTACAAAATTACTATGGCCTCTGTGAGAGCCTGTTTAAGCTAGATAGATTTTGTTTTCCATAAAACAAAAGTTAGCAGTGGTTTCTTCTCTGGGAGTGCCAGACAAGATTAACCTGTTCTAGACGTTCTTCCCCTATTAGTCTTTATGGAGTACCGAAAGGAAATTATCTGATCCCACATCCCAAAATGAGTAACGTGCAATTAAGCCTATGTCTGGGACATTTAATCAATTAAATAATGAGAACAGTCATTAAACGTTTTGTTGTTTTAAAAGTGGACCTGATTTACGTGAGCAGATGAAAAGATATTTTAACATAAGCATGTGTAAGAACCGCAAATTATCAGTTCCCTTTAATGCCAGAGAGGCATCCTGGGTTGAGAAGGTAATGCCCTTTTTTGAGATTGTGCGGCCTGTTGTGATTCACACACACATCACTGAAAACATCAGTCCCAACCTTTTCTTTATGTGGTTCTCTTCATCATCACTGAAAGTGTTTCTGAGAACTGTCACATACGCCAAGAGTCTGCAACGTGGCGCGCCTGGAGGGTTGCTAATTTAAATTAATAATTATTCTTTTAAAAATTAAAACCACAAGATCACCCATATATAAGATGAACTTTCCCACCCCCAATCTTGTGAGATGTTAAAATTTCCATTTTAAATACTTTATTTTTATGTTGGTGACTGCACCAGGAACCACCTGAAAGTATCTAGCAGACAGTTAGTGGTCCTAGGAACTACTGATCCCAAAGTATGTCCTCTGGAATTGTATTTTCATACTTAGGCATTATACACTTAGATTTAATTGGTTAATAGCTCTCCTTAAAATAGTGGAATACTACAATGCACCAGTCAATCAGGAATCAGGAAAGATAAGGGGAATGCCCATAGCAGCCCCACAATCAAGTAGGGTTTCAATGGCCACTCCCTACTGTAATGAAAAGCTGATTGAGAAGACAGCAGAGGCCTTGACATTACTTTTTATGTTGTGTCAATTTCCCTGGGAAGGGGGTTAGGTGGTTTGTTGGTTTGCTTCATGAGCCCACCAGGGAACACTGCCATTAAAAACTGTTATTCTCATTTCAAAACAGGTTTTGCGGGATCAAGAAACTCAGGAGTTACTACTGTGTGTGGCCTTTGTGTTTGAAGTGTCTGCCAGCGAGCGGGGAGCACAGCATCACATCTACCGGCTGGGCCGGGACTGAGAAATAGTTTTCACCATACTCAACAAAAAACACCAACCAACCAGCCCATCTTCCCCTTATCTCAATCCTACTGGCTGGCAGAACTGCCAGAAAAACTGCTGAGCCCTTTCATACCAACTTTTGAGTTTACTAACTGATACTATTCTGTTTTATGACCACAAAACCAGGCTTTAGACCTAAACCCTTAACAGGCACCATTCTTCAGCAGACCATCTTGCAGCTGTGGCAGCATGATCATAACCGTGGGCCCTTTGAACAGGTGTACTTATGGAAGAATGCTCTTTTGGTGAATTCATCTCCAGAAAGCCGAGGACAAGAGTTAATCTCTGCTCCACGTTATCATTACAACACTCCTCTAAGAATATCCTCCCATGTGATTGCTTCTCTGGGATTTAGCGCTCCGTTGTAAGAAGAAAGGGTATTTCTTAGCACTCTTGTTTTGTAAGACAGTCAGATGTTGACGAACGTCATAACTTAATTCTCACGAACAGCTAAAGAATAAACCCATTTCTGCACTGAGCTGTACTATGTCAGACTCTAGGCAAAGGTTTCTATCAGGAATACATAACTTGATGCTCTCAATCCACATGTTACCCCCCCCGCCCAGATCCTTCTAAGAGTCCACCAAACTGTAGGGTTTAATGTGACATTAAGTTAAAGACTGTTATATACATGGGCAGTAATGATATTAAGGTTTAATACAACTTTAATACACATTGAAATTCTTGTCCTGCCTTGGATCGATCTCCCTTTTAGAGTGCAGCCTGCAACAAGCCCTTCAAAAGCCTTTTACTAAATCAAATTCTCCTTTACTGCCTAGGAGTTTAAGACCCATGTTGGTACTGTTTCAAAAGTAGAGAAGCAATTCACACTGTAGAAAAGTATTGCCTTGCAAGAGAGTCAGGCTTCATCTACGCATCGAGTATGAATTCATGTAGTAAGCTACATATCTTTGAAGTGCAGGTGGGAGGCATTTTAATATTACTCATATGAATAATTAAAGATTTGCAAGAGCATTAACTTGAAACAGAAAAATGATCTTCTAGTCCTCTTTCTTCTGCACCACTTTTCTGCTTCCAAGGAGTTTTATATCTAAAGGAGCTTTTAAAAAAATACAGTTGCCCAAATTTTGGGGAATGAATGGAATTGTTTTCAGCTCTGGAAACAAGATTATCATCTTGTTCTACTCCATGCGTAGTCCCCTTAGATGAAAACAAAAATATAAAAGTAAGCTAAGCTTTGTTTAAAAGTGCAATGTGAATAAGCCTTATCTGGCCAAATGTATGTTCTTGATAGATGGTCACCTTTCCTGTTTTTGACATTCAAAGTTGCTGCTTTCTCTCCCTCTTTGGTGGGAAAGGGGGAAATGATGTGGTTCTGCATTAGGGCATTATACCTAATAACTGATTTGAATAACTGACTCCCCACTGATTTGAAAAAAGTGGAGCACGGTGTTCTTCAGCCAGTGGTGGGCAACTGATGGTGTCTAGGATTGCTAGATCTTGTAGTTCTAGTGTTTGGGGGGGGGGTGTGGGAAGGATGGTGTAAGAAAAGTGAGATTCTTTAGGACTCTGTGTTATAATTAGAGTTTGCACCGTAGTTTTACTATGCTTTCCTCCAAGAAATCACATTACAAAAATTCAAACAAGCATTTAAAGTGAGTTTGCAGGCTGCAAACAGGACTTCATATAGCCTTGTATATTGTATTGCCCACTCCAGTTGTAGGCTAATCTTGATCTTCTTCACAAGGCAAAGATGGTACCAGTGCTAGGACAATACATATTATGGGTATTTAGCAGGGTCCTAAGTCCAGCCATCTTACAACCACCTGGTGTTAACTCCGCATTGGATTTCTTACCAGCTATGAAGAAACAGTAATTCCTTGTTGGATTTCAAATTCAGAAAAGGTCCAGTCAAGAGCAATCAGATGCAGCATCAAAGAGTCAGTTAAAAGAAGCTCCATCACTTACCCCTTGTGAAGGAAGTCCAGCCCAGCAAAATGCAGAGGGAATCCTTGTAAGAACAGGACTATAGCTCCTTGGCTAAAGCTACTCTGTTCCAGAACTAATCCTAAATTCCAATTTCTAGTAATCTGTTGCATGCAACCCATCAGAAGTCTATTGTCTCTCAGAAGGCTCCTTTATGACTCAAAACCAGCCAATTAGCATAAGACTGGTCAACTGGAGTAAGGGGCGTGGCTAAACATTCACCAAGAGCCATGCCTTTTATTCTGACTGGCTGCTCTTAGCTGTTACAGGGGGTCCTATGATCAGTATCAGTACATCCATTCTTTTGGGGAAAATATCTAAACGCTATTTTACATCCAAATTCAAACCAAACATGGCCATTTATGGATCTTTTTTATTTACAAAATAAATTTTTTTAAAAACCCTAATTCCATTAAGAACAAAGAACAGCAAGTTGAGAAAGGGGGTGAAATTATATGTGTACCTCATCCCATCTATATCCTCTTAAGCTATTTTCCCTTTTATACTTCTGTGTTAAACATCCAAGCAGAATATATAAATACACAAACATAAAGCAAAAGAGGTTTTCCCAGGTGCCCCTGCACAGGTTGTAAATGTGCAAGGCGAAACACAAAACCGTGTCCAATGATTGTGGCTCAAAGGTGTCCCTTCATTACACTTGCTGGGGGGCGGGTGGTAAAGTGTCTCCATCCGAAAAATCCATGGAAGTTTAATGTACTTCCATTACATTATGAATGTAAACCCAGTGCAAACAGGCCTCTTTCTTCATTCCAGGCCAGGTATGTCCTGCTGAGAGTTCAGGTATTGACCTCTAGCTGCCTGTGAAGTATCTAGTGGTCATGAGCTCCACCAAAGGCTTACAGATACAGTGCTGTGGAACCTGTCATTCAGCATTCCTTACCACTGTCTGTAGGGGCTGGGGCAATTAGGAGCTACCAGTGAACAATATCAGATGGACTTCAAGTTCCTCATCCCTGTTCTAGAAGAAAAGGCTTATGATAGAACAGTTTGATCCAAACCTAAGGGAGGAAGTCAGCTCTCTTAACTGAGCCATTTTCAACACGAGTTAATTCAGCCAAATCAAGATGAGATGCAGTAGAAAAGGCCATGCCAAGTACATGCCAAGAATAGCACAGAACACACAACTTTCAGGTTTGGACATATCCTATGTATGGTTCAAAATGTTTGAGGTCTAGCTAAACCGAACAGAGTTCGCCTCAACAGTAGCAAAGATAATACAAAAACTCTTGGTCCAAACAGGCAGGTTGTCACCATTCTTAATTCACAGCCTGTTAATATACTGCCAATTCTACTTTTTCAAAAAAAAAAAGAAGAGATTTTTAGCTTTGACTTCAAAACAGCCCTATTAAAGGATTTGAGGGTGGTGGTGAACGTTTAACATTTTATGTGCTCTTAACAAACCATTTCCCCCCCCAGGTTATATTTGACAGATTCTAGCAATAAGTGATTTATGGTTAAACAGTTTTTCCTCATGCAAAAGTAGATCAGGGCTTGGATGTTAAAATCTGTGCATTCCAGGACAATGCAATATGAAAATATAGAAGTCTACCTTATTTTAGGGATTTACTGTAGAGCCAAAAGGCCGTACATCCCTAACTTTTGGAGGTCATCTAAGAACTAAATCGTCTTTAGCTAACTGAAGGTAAACACTTGCTTCATAATGTTCTCTTTTCTTATTGGTCACTCCGATTCTTGAAAGCTTCATTTCAGTTTCCAAGATCAGGATCAATCAGAACAAGAAAGTTAGATAGTAAACCTGCAGAATGCAACTGCAGCCCTAAATACTGTTTTAAAACCCTGGTGGAATGGCTGAACAGGATGGAATGTTCTTCACCACTGTTCCCCCAGAAGAGGGGAGGCTGCGGAGGCTCGTTTGCCTAGGAATAACGAGCAAGCTTGTCATAGTTGGGGCCAACGGTCCTACACAGAAACATTGATACCATCATGAGGCAAAGCTGTGGGAAAAAGAGAGATCTTATTAAAAGAAACAGCAATCACATATCTGTCATACGAAAAGCTAAATTCCATGTTTGGGACAGTTTGGAAAGCAACTTAAAAATAAGATTCTCAGTTTGATCCGAGACCCTTCAGAGGTGTTGGGCTTCAACCTCCAGTATTTCTGCCTGAAATTTCTGGAAGTTGGGAATCCAGTGTATCTGGAAGGTTGGATGCTTGCTCCAGACCTAAGCCCTGAAATTACAAGGCACAGTAGCTATCTCTGAATTGTTGTTGTACCCAACCTGGTACCTTTCATATCTGAACTACAACCCCCATAATCCTTGAAGTGCTTTCCCCTATCTGGATGCTCTCCAGACATGTGGATCAGCCATGGTCAGGCTGGTTGGGGAATTCTAGAATAGAATCCAGCACAGGATAAGTAGATACACAAGATGGAAAGAAGCTGTGGAGACCTGAATGACTCACAGAATGTATCCTGCAGGAAGGAAGGGAGACTGTCTGCTTAAAAAGGGGTGAGTCTCTGCCCTGCAGCATTTGAGTCTCTAACATGCTTTATTGTTCTCTGCTGCATTTGCTCTCTCTAGCTCTCCCTATTGGCGCTCAGGTAACTGCGGCACAATTAGCTCTTGGACCCAGCAGCATGCTATGTTTCATCTTGGCCCCCGGGGGCAGCAAAGCTCTTTTCACAACAGTACAAGATGCATGAAAGACATTCACCTGCAAGGAGGAGCGGGGTGGGGAAAAGAAAGCACGAACTCTTGACGCATTTGCATTAAAGGAACTTTCAGGCCTGACAATGCCCTGGAATAATTACCTTGCCAATATTCCAAGCTGTGCAGGGACGTGAAATAATTTAAAGGATTATAAAAATGGGAAGAGGTTTCAGAAAGCTAGGGAGAATTAAGGAGCAGCACAGACGTAACTCAGGGACTCATACATCGCTTTGGGAAGCAAATCAACACCTTGCCTTTTCAGACATGCCCAGACCATGCCAGGCGCAGGGTGTGGATGTGTTGAGAAACACAGCAGACATGCATATACCCAGCAGCCAGCATATCAAAAGCACACTGGGACAGCTAGGTGTTTGTGCCCCAGCCGCAGGGCTCACATGTAAAGGCCCAAAAGTTAAAGTGTTCTTGGATGGCACTGAAAGGGAAGAGAGGAGGAATAATGAAAGGGGCAGAATTCTTCTTGCACAACGGGAACGTGGGAAAAGAACTTTAAGCATCTCTCGTTTCTGAATGTAGATTTGCATCAGGAATTAGATTAATTTCATGGGTTTTCCAAGTCTATGTGATTCTCATTGGGGGATATCAGGAAAAAAAAAACCCGTTCCTCTTCTCCCCAGGCCACACTGAGCCTCTTCCTTTCAAATCCAGGCCCTTAGGATATATGTCAGTTCATTAAAAACTTTACAAAACAGCACGAGCAGCTATGGTTTGCTTTTCTTTAAAAAGAAAATATGGAAGTAACACAAACAATTGCAACCTTCCAAAATAAACTACCCATAACTTTCTCACACACACACACACACACATAAAATCTGTCTTCTGCTAGCCAACCCAGAAAGTCATCAAGGAGAACAACAGATTTCCCCAAAAGGTAATCTCCACATGTGGTCATAGAGAAAGCTTCTACTTGGTGCCCCCTCCAGTAGTGTAAGACTACATTGGCCATCATTCTCAGCAACTATTGGCTGCGCTGGCTGGGGGTGATGGGAACTGTTATTTCTTGCACCTTTTCTCTGAGAGCTCAAGGCAGTTCCACACAGGGTCTCTCCTTTTACTTCAACAAATAACCATTCTGTAAGTTTGGGCTGAAAGAGTGAATGGCCCAACATTAGCCAGTAAACTACACAGTTGGGCCAAACCTGAGCCCAAGTCTTTCTGGCCTAAATCACGCTTCTTAATTACTACGCTATTCTAAATTGTAATCCAGCAGATGTGAAGGGTTCCAGATACAGGAAACTGCCTAGGTGAATTCACAAGGATTCACGTGGGATCACCAGTAGGGATCACTTCCTTGCAAATATACAAGCATGACACCATGATGTTTGGGGATGGCAACAGCTTTTCTGGCCAATGCGTGCACCCAAGACACCCTGCACTGCACTCATGACCCACACAGACCACATAGAAATGGGCATGCAGAGAGGAGAATAACACACCCTTCCCAACGCAGGAAGGCACAAACAACAAGGCATGGCAGAAAGCTGGAAACATCTATGCCTGTACATAAATGCACTCCCTTTAGCCACCTGTTAGGGATCTCCTGGGAGCCACCACTATGCAGGTCCTTGTGTTCTAGTGCAGTGACCAGCAACATGCACAGCAGCTGCAGTAACTACAAGAAAGATCCAGGATGGAAAGGAGATAAAGACCTCAACACTTTTCATGTAATGCACTCACAAACAAGCACATATAAACATTTCAGGTGTCCCTCAGCAATGCCTATTGATCAAAATGAGCGGACTGGTAGGGACAACACTTGGTGGCACATGGTTTGGACAACAGCACTGACAGATTTGCCGTTCTGCCCCTACATGGGAGAAACATAATGGCATCTTAAGGGCAGAAGAAAAGCAGGCCTGGATCTTTCATCATCAAGCAGCAAACTGCCCAGAGAGCTTTGACCACTGGGTGGTTTAAAAAACTTAGATAGCTAGATATCAAACAATCAATTCTGAGTACCATGAAACAGCATCAAATAGTTAATTATTTAGCTTAACATTCCAGAGGAGGAAGAGGCATTTAGGGATTTTCTGCCCACAAGACCCAATTGCACTTCAGTACTACATACCTTTATCTAATGGGGTGGATGGGGAAAGAGATTACTATTATTACAAAATGCCTTTGGTCAGTCCTGAAAATAAACACCGTGCAAGGTGGTATAAACTGAATATGGCTGTAATGATTTTGGGAGGTCTCCAAACCTATCAACATTTGCACCTCCCTGTATTATTACAGCACCACTGGTGGAAATGCAGCTGTACCCAGCTAGTCTTTCAAGACCTCTTACCTCTAGGAGAGCAATCCCAAGGCAGATGCCTACAATGCTGATGATGTTATTGTTCAGCCAGGCTTGGACATTCTCCCTGCAGCCCTACAAACAGGCAAAAGTATGTTAAAAAAGGAGTGTCAGAGGGAAATGCAAGAAGAATCCTTGTCAGATCAATTACAAGGCACATCTCACTCAGCCATCTTGCTTCACATTGTAGCCCACCAGATGTAGCCAAAAAACTCACCAAAAAAAAAAAAATCAGAAAGGAATAGTCCACCTTCATTTTCTACATCTGGCACCAGCCTTGCCTTTGCTAGTCCTAGCCTTCATGAACTTGTATTACTAACGTTCAGAAACTCCCAAGGCAGTGTCCTTCGCCACATCAAGAAGCACTGAGTCCCACAAATTAATTCTGCACTGTATGAATACCTATTTTCTTTTGTCTCTCCCACACCAACTGGCTGCTCATTTTAAGGACTCAGCAGAGAGAAGGTGAAATCAATACCTATATGGCTAAGGGCCTACATATTTACAGGACCATCTAGTTCCAGTAGCTTCTGCCCACCCAAAAAGATCAAGGAGGGTAGACTCACTGCAAATGCTTTCCCTTAGGGAGGTTATTTACAAGGTCCAAGGAATCGAGTCTTCTCTGTTGCAGCCGTCCTTCTTTGGAGGAGCCAAAGATCAGATTAGCCCCCACCCTGTTATGTTTTAGGAGAGCTGTAAAATCTGGCTTTCAGTATAGTAAGTTAGAACCCCCCATCCTGAGCTGTGACTGGATTCTTTGTTCTCAGCAGCCTTTGTTTCTTTTAAGTAATGTTGTCATCATGCACAACTGTTTCTCATTTTATTATACCATTTTTGTATTTTAACTTAGAGTCCAGTTGGACTGGAGTGGCATGCAAGCCACAGTAAATAAATACTTCTTTCTATCAAATGGATGCACCAATTGTGGCCAAAGAATAGTATGCAACCTTCTTCTTCACAACTGCTTTTTTCAGTAATTATAATTTCATTATAAGAATATTTCCACGCCTGGAAAGTGCCAAACTGGCCAAAAGCTGTTATGTTTCAGAAATTACTAAAAATCTGGTTGTCTTCCCAGGCCTTGGAAGAAGATAGTTATGGAGCCCCTTTTAATTTAGCTTAGTTTTGTTCTTCTGGTTTGCCGTGTTTTCTTTTACAATGGTACCTCGGGTTACGAACGCCTCTGCTAACGAACTTTTCAGGTTGCGACCAGCTCTGGCTGCAAAAATTTACCTCGGGTTACGAACTGGATCCGCGGCCATTTTCCGCTGTGACACGTGGTCTGCGGCCATTTTCTGCCCATTCCAGGTGGTCCACGGCCATTTTTCTGCCCGTGCCACGTGGTCCGCGGCCATTTTCCGCTGTGACACGTGGTCTGCGGCCATTTTCTGCCCATTCCAGGTGGTCCACGGCCATTTTTCTGCCCGTGCCACGTGGTCCGCGGCCATTTTCCGCTGTGACACGTGGTCTGCGGCCATTTTCTGCCCATTCCACGTGGTCCACGGCCATTTTTCTGCCCGTGCCACGTGGTCCGCGGCCATTTTCCGCCCGTTCCATGTGGTCCATGGCCATTTTTCCGCCCTACCGCATGGTCCGCAGCTGTTTTTCCGCCCTGATGCGTGGTCCACGGCCGTTTTTCCGCCCTGACGCGTGGTCCGCAGCCGTTTTTCCGCCCTGACGCGTGGTCCGCGGCCGTTTTTCCGCCCTGACGCGTGGTCCGCGGCCGTTTTTCCGCCCCTGACGCGTGGTCCGCGGACGCCGGAA